TCTGAACATCGTTTATCTTTGCTTATTAAGTTAATCTTTGTAAAATCACTTTTAAAATATCCAATCGTTTATATTTGGGACATGATCAGTTCGTATCCTTCATTGCCTAGGACTATGAAAAGTTTTTCCTGACACTGAAGGGGTGCCCAACAACTCAAGTTCTGGCATTTAGCTGCCTTGAGTTGGTTCCATAGGTTAAGGGGTCAGTTGCACAGGACTACCCTCTATTCAAGAAGCATCAGTAGGGGGACAGTGCCATGGCTCAGCAGGCTAATCCACCTGCAAGTACTGGCATCTCATATAGGTACAGGTTTGTGTCTTTACTACTCCCCATCCAGCTCCCTACTTTTGGCCTGGTAAAGTAGTAGAGGATGGAAGATCTTTCTCTCTTTCTTTCTCTCTGTAAATTTGCCTTTCAAATAAAAATATTTCTTCAGAAAAAAAGAAAAGAAAAAGAACCATCAGTAACCTGAGGGTAGGACACACATACTGCCTGTTAGCCAGAAGTTTCCATAACATCATAAGTTTGATCATTTGCTACAGAGACTCACAGAACTTGGGAAAGTACTTACATTTGCCAGTTTATTATAAAGGGTGCAACTCAGTAACAACCAAATGAGAAACTGTATTGGGTAAAGGTAGAGAGAAGACCTGCAGAGCTTCCATGTCTTTTGGGCAACACCTTCTCAGCCCTGTCCATGTGTGTCCCAACCTGGAAGTTCCAGGAACCTTGTGGCTTAGGAAGGGTTATGTATGTTCAGTTATATAGGCATGGTTAATTAATTCATCAGCCATCAATGCTGAAGAAAAATCTCTCCTTTCTTTCCCCTGTGAAATGAGGCTAATCATGTGACTGGTTCCTCTGGTGACAATCCCTTGTGAGACCCCTCCTTAGCATAAAGTTAGATATACTCCAAAGGGACTCAGTCTGAAAAACCAAAGGTGCTCCTATCAGTCAGAGAATTCCAAGGAACTCTTAAGGGTAACGGACCACAATAAATATTCTATAGATTACATTTAGTCTGTATTATATGGCCACGTGCTACATGAGGATGTTTCTGTCAACATTAGCATACCCAGTGATGACACAATAAGATTCTATCACCTAGCAATGGTGTGGCCTTTTTAGTTGTAAGGAGACTGTGGTGTTTGATGAAACTGTCACGTTCCTCAGGAAGGATCCTTGGTGTTACATGCTGCACGACCATGTAACAGTGTCCTTCAGTCAGAAGAACAGAAAGAAGCACAGTTTAGCTGATTTGAGAAATGTGTGAGATATGAAATGTAATTTTATTATACTATGGTTTAGTCTTTAGTGTGTGATCATGTTCTTTTTAAAAGGTTTTGCTTTCACAAACTTATTTTATGTATTAAAGACTTAACTTGGATTAATTTGTAATCTACCTTTTAGACTGCCGTAAATAGAAGATGCTCAGTTGATACTCATTGGATGGTTTCAGTAGAAATCTCAGGATTAACGCTAAGAGGACTTTATGCTGTGGTCGTGGAAAACTTGGGTTTGGGAATCAGATCTCTATTCAAGCCCCAGCTCTTCCTCTTACTGTGGTGTGACTTTGGCATAGAGGTGACTTAACCTTTCTAACTTCAGTTTATGCATGTGTAAAAGGATTTTTCTAATCACCTACTAGTCACACTGTTAAAGATTAACAAGAGTATGTAATGAATTTAGCACACTGTTTGACATAGAAAACTCATTGTATGGCAGCTGTACATATTATCATTATAATTAAAGTGTGTATGCTGATGGATAGATTTTTGTAAGCTTAGTGTTTGGTTTGGGAAATGGAACGTGTGATAATCCTGATTGGCTGTACTTGAAATACAGGCTTTTGTTTCTGTATTAAATACATGAGGTGATTTTTTAACTTGAAGAGCAAGCAGGTGCCATTTGGGCCCTAGGCAAAACTGTAAATGCAGTGTAAATGAAGTTGTTTTCTGTCCCTTTTGTTGTTACTGTTCAAAACAACCTCACCTCCTTCTAAAGACCATACGCTTGAACTGAGCTGTGTCTTTTGACTTTCCGTTCTTCAAGATTCTGTATTCTTTGCAGGAGTTGGGTTTTAGGAAGGTTAGAAGAAAAACAAATGTTAATTTTTAGTAGTTTATGCCAATCTAGAAGTAACTAGAAGAATCTCCATTTCTATTTTAAAAGAATGTTAAAAAAATAATTTAAAAATGTCTTTCTTTGGAGACATTTGGTAGGGACAGGTACACGAACAAATAATAAAGGAAGCGGTTAGGGTTTTCCTGCTCTGGGGACTCCAGCCACGTGTAGGCTTTGGAAATTGTTCTCCCTATTGCTTTAACTCAGTCTTAGGTAGTCTTCTCACTTACCTGGATAGTGCGGCCAAGAACTCCAGGGAAGCACTGTGCAGACACCTGAAGAAGCCTTTCCTGCATGGCCTGTCTCATATTTAGTCTCGCCAGTTCTGGCCAGTGTGCTGGGCTCCCTGACACCAGATGCTGACTTGTCAATTCAGCAGGTCTGCCAGGCTGTGCTTCGTTACTTTTCCCTGTGTCCTGGCGGTGGGATGCAGTCAGCAGTGAACTACCAGGACTCACTGTGCTCTGATGGAAAGATGTTTTAACTTCCCGCAGGGATTAATCTGCTTGCCTGTTATCTGTAATGCCTGAAAACCATTATTTCAGGTGTTTTACATGGCTGTCTGCTTGTTTAGGTAGTAAAGTAAACCTGGTCCCAAATATTCCATTATGACTAGAAGCAGAATCCTCAGATTATGTGGAGAATTAAACTCCCAGGTAGTTAAGACTTTTGTTTAAGCATACAAATGTTAACACAGTTTTTGGGCCATAGGACAAATGTATTTTTAGTTTAAATTATTTTTTTAAGTTTTATTTTGATTGGAAAGGCTGATTGACAAAGAGAAGGAGACAGAGCCTCCATCCGCTGGTTCATTCCCCAAATGGCCATAGTGGTTGGAGCTGAACCTATCCAGAACTGGGAGCCTCTTCTAGGGCTTCCATACAGGTGAAGGGTCCCAAAGTCTTAAGCTATCGTCCACTGCTTTCCCAGGCCAGAAGCAGAGAAGCAGAGAGCTAGATTGGATATGGAGCAGCTGGGACACAAACCGGCACTCATATGCAATGTGGCATTTGCAGGTAGAGGGGGTTAGCCTGTGGAAACACCTGCCAGACCGAATGATTATTTACAAAAATTGCCCTTGGTCATGTTGCCATTTTACATTCCTCTTGAGTCTGCAGAGTATGAAACTACTTAATTCCCTCTATCTTCACTCACTAACATCAAACTTTAGATGTTTAAAATAGCATCTCATACTTGTTTTCATACTTGTTTCCTGTTGGTGGCCATGAGTGAAATTGGACATCTTTCCTGTGTAAAAGTCTGTGTTTCCCTTTCTGTGTACTGTTAGTATTCTTTAAGCGTCTCCCTATTGAACTTTTGAATTGTTTATTTTCTCTGTTTGTAGGAATTCTTGGAGTGGCCCTTTGTGATGTCACTGGCAGACATGTTTTTGGTTTCTTACTGGCTGACTCAGAATTATCTCTTTAAAATCTGTTACTCATTTGAAAGGCAGTCTGTCAGAGGGTGACGCAGGAAATCTTCCATCTGCTAGTTCACTCCCCAAATGGTCACAGCCACTGGGGCTGGGCTTGCCCAAAGCCAGGAGCAAGGAACTGCATCTGCGTCCCTGCAGATGGGTGGCAGGAGCCCAGGCATTGGGCCTTGACTTGTCATCTTCCCAGGTGTCTATGAAACAGGGCAGATAGAATTCAAACAGATACCCCGATATAGGATGCTAGCATTACAGGTGATTATGGGCAAAGATACAGTGCTGACCCCCCACTTTTTATTTATCTGAAAGAGGAGCAAAAAGAGTCAATATGCTGGTTTACTGCCCAGATGCCTCTGAATAGCTGGGACCAGACCAGGCCAAGGTCAGGATTCAAGACCCCAGTTGCCCCCAGAGGTTCATACTTGGTCGAAGTACTTGCTCTTTGGCACTGCACTTGTATCTCCATTCTCCAAAGGTTCTATATATTTATATACATAAAGATTTATTTATTTATTTATTTATTTAAAAGTCAGAATTAGGGAGACACAGAGAGAGAGAGCCAGCAAGTTTCCATCCACTGAATTCACTCCCTAGATAACCTCCATAACCAGAATTTTGCTGCTCAGGAACCAGGAGCTTCCTCCAGGTCTCCCCAGTGGGTGCATAAGCCCAAGGACGTGAGCCATCCTCTGCTGCTCTCTCAGGCCACAAGTAGAAAGGTGGGTTGGAAATGGAGCAGTCAGGACACGAAGCAGCACCCATACAGGTTGCCAGTAATGCGGGGGACTACCAGAATGGCATTGGGCCCAGCTTCTGTTTTCTTTTCAGCTATATTTAAAGAAGGGAAAGAGTTGTGTTCCCAAATGATCAAATGATGGGTTTTTTTTGCTTCCCTTAACCTCTTGCTATGTCATGACCCTTATATTACTTCGGATGCATTTTTTCACTTTGAGCAGTGCAACTTGTAAACTGAATGTTGGATAAATAATTTTGTGCCTCCACATAAACAAATATTTTTTTTGCAAGTAAAATGGAACTTGTAAAGGTTATCTAATATTTTGCCTGTCATCTAACGTTTTTTTACTTCTGTATTTGTTGACTAGTTATATAAACTTAAGCAATCTTTTGGAAGGCTGTACAATGTAGTGATGCCATTTCTGCATTAATAACTAAATGTATAGATCTAAGCATGATAGATTATGTCTAAAAAGGTATTCATTTAGCAATTTATATTTGAATTTAGATTCTATAGTATTGCCTGCTTACAAAAAGACGATTTAGCTTTCTTTAAGGAAAGTTTTCCAGACATTTAAACATAAAATGACTTAAATTCAAGTTTAACTTTAATGGAATTTCAGTAACCCTCAATTAAGTTAGACACTTAAAGTAATTCCATACGCGGATCTTCTTTGTAATGAAACTTACTATGTTTAATTTTCCCAGCAGAAATTCAGGAAGCAAAAGCTCCCAGTCCTTCTCTAAACCGGCAAACCAGCATTGAAACGGATAGAGTGTCTAAGGAGTTCATAGAATTTCTCAAGACCTTCCACAAGACAGGCCAAGAAATCTATAAACAGACCAAGCTGTTTTTGGAAGCAATGCATTACAAAAGGGTAGGTTGAGAATAAACACTTAGAAATACAGTTTTGATTATAGGAAAGGTCTTAGATGTGATTCAGTGCTATCTTGTTACTGTATCCTGGAGAAAATCAATACCCAAACATGTTAAGTTACTTACCTAAGGAAAGCATCTGAACTAACTTAAAACCTGACTCTTAAGCTAGTACTTTTCCATTGTGATTCAGTGGCGTTTAGATCCTCTCTGTATGGAAATTTTGACGTTGGAGCTACTTGATTCATATGCTGTAGTAGCAGGCCTTTTTCGCTTGTGCCTTGTAAGTAGTGTATACTGCCATGGTAGACCTTTGTCTCTGAGTAGCAGTTCGTTAGTCCAGTAGCAATAGTTTCAGGTTCGTGTGGTGTGTATGTGTGGATATTGATTTTGATTTTCCCTCTCTGTTCAGTTAGAGAAGGGAAAGGTAGAATTTAGACCTGGAAAGGTACTGTCGCAGCTGTCTGGTCTCAGTCCTTTCACTTTATAGATGAGAACGTGGAAAGCCAGAGTGTAAGTGACTGGTCTGAGGTTACACAACAAGAACGCCAGCATCACAACAAGAACCTGTGGCTTCCACACCTGTATCTGCAACCTGGAGTTGCAGTCTTGCTGTAGTGGGGTTTTTCCAAGTAGGGGTTCATTCTATTATCACATTCTATGGCCACTGAACTCAGCATTAGTTCTGATAATCCCTTTGTGAATCAAAGAAGCCACATGGTGTTGAACTGATTAGGCAAATAAGGATTGGACTTCTGCTAAAATATTTTTATATTTCAAATCCAGTTATTTGCATGCAGATGATGACATTTAGATGTGAAGTGAACAAACTATCATTGAGTGTTTAGTTAGAAGCAGTAACTTTCTTGTCGTATTATAAGGGTCTGTTTACCATGAATTCTTATGTATTTGACACTGCTCCACTGATTCTGCCAGATATTCATCATTCTTACTTCCATGCCATGGCTGAGTGGGGGGTATCCTTCCCCAAACTTCTTCAGTCTAAAACAGTGACTCACTCTTGTCCACATTATTCCCCGCATAATTCTTCTTTGTTTCAATCCTAGGTTTAGCTTTTTTTTTTTTTTAAGATTTTATTTATTTTGATTGGGAAGTCAGATATACAGAGAAGAGGAGACAGAGAGGAAGATATTGCCATCTGTTGATTCACTCTCCAAGTGGCCACAACAGCTGGAGCGATGCCAGTCCAGAGCCAGGAGCCCAGAGCTTCATGCGAGTCTCCCTTGTGGGTACAGGATCCCAAGACTTTGTTCTATCCATTTTGATCTATGTTCGCCTCTAAGTGGGTACAGGATTCCCAGGCCACAAACAAGGAGCTGGATGACAAGCAGGGCCACCCGGATTAGAATCAGTGTCCATATAGGATCCTGGCATGTGCAAGCCAGGCTACCACACTGGACCCAGATTTAGCTTACCTTAAAGAAAGTTGCATTTTCTTGGGGAGGGTTAAACTATTTATTTATTTATAAATCGAATAAATTCAGAGCTCTTCAGTCTCCTGGTTCATTCTCTAAATGACTGCAATAGCCAGGGCTAGACCAGGCCCAAAGCAGAAGTCTAAATATCTGTCCACGTCTCCAGTGTGGGTGCAAGGACCCCAGGACTTGGGGCATGTTCTGCTGCTTTCCCAGGAACATTAGCAGGGAGCTGGATCAGGAGTTGAGCAGCTGAGACTTGTACTGGAAGCCGTATAGGATGCTAGCATTTCGTGTGGCAGCTTAGCCTGATGTGCTATAATACTGGCCTTAACCTGCCTTAATTTTAAAACGAGCAATACTCTCCTTTGTCAAAATGCAGACATTCTGATCACTCAGCAATTACAGTAAAGCTTTGTCCCTATTTTCCTAGATTTCTGTTTGGTTTTTAAAAATGATTCCTTAATTAACAATCATTCTGATGAATTCTTTTCCCTTGCTAAAAAAGCAGTCATACACCACAGAAGACCTTTTGCTAGTTTCTTCTCTGCGCTTCTCTAACAGTCTTTTAACAGCTTTCTTGTTGTGTCTCAGACCTGTTGGTTACTGTGAACAACTACAAAACAAAACAGCAAAGGCCCGAACTTAGAGGGGAACATAGATCAAAATGGAGAGAACACATTCTTCCTGCACAAGATAAGAAACTTACAAAAGAGGTCAGGTTAGAAGACCAGATAAAACAGACTATGGAAAATACACGTAGGCTTCAGCAGGTACTGAAACTTGTAGCAGTGGCCTAAAAATTAGTAGAGAAATTTCTATGATATTTAGGGCTTCCATGGTTACTTGAGAAGTTGCAGACAATCTGAAGAAGGCTGTAACTGTTTCTTTCATTTTAATTATTTGAGAGGCAGAGTTAGAGATCTTTGCATCTGCTGGTTCACTCCCCAGATAGCCACAACAGCCAGGCTGAAGCCAGGAGCCAGAAGCTTCATTTGGTTCCCATGTGGGCGCAGTTGCCTAAGCACTTGGACCATGTTCCACTCCTTTCCATGGTGCATAAGCTCAGAGCTGAATTGAAAGTAGAGCAGCACTGACTTAAACTGGCATTTATATTGGGTGCTGTCCTTACAGGCAGTGGCTTTACCTATGCATGCCACAGTGTGAACCCCAGTACTTTGTGTCTTAAAAGAAATTAAATACACTCCTGCTGAAAGACGTATGTGAGACTCTAAGTCGGTCCTGAAGCACAGCTGACTCTTGCTGAACCCAGTCAGTGCAGAGTTGAGCATTTATGCGCCTGCTGCCTAGAGGGAACGAGCCAGGTGCAGTGGTTCCAGTTATCAGAATGGGTGCAGGCTGTGTGAGTGCCCCTCTGAGACATACCATTGCGTGTGTGGGAAGAAAAATCAGATGTCTTGTACAGAATTTTTTTTTTTTAGTTTAAAATTTTATTTTTGGTGATATTTACATAGTTGAGGGTATGGGAAGGATCAGGGGTAAGTGGGCGAGACCATTGTTTACACATTTTGTTTTTCTTCTTCCAGTATCTGGGGGAGGGGGAATACAAGGGGAGAAACCACACCCAGCCTGCCCACCACCTCAGTACCCAGGGATGGGGAATGGCTACCCCAATGGAGAATTTCTTTAATCACTTGCTATAGCTTATGTAAGATTGATTTGTTTTTTTCTCATTTGTATAATTTGACCTTTCCCTGAATCTTGTTGGGAAGCTTAAGTGATTAATGACTAGTCTTATTTTGGGCCTACTCACCAGTTTAGCACCATGTGTTTACTGGGTCCGTGTATTTAGGACCAGTAGGGCACTGAGGCCTCAGTTAAAATTCAGTGGGTGACATCAAAGTGTTTTAAACAAATGAACTGTTGGGCAGAATTTTTACTGTTTGTATGCCAGGATGCTGTGCAATTCATTGTAGCCCATTAAGTTTATAAAACGCTCACCCTGCTACCTGTTTTGTCCAGTGAAAGACAAAAACATTTATCTTGCTGAAAAAAAGTAAGTCTTATGATCTATGTAAGAAACATGTGATTTCATTTATAGTTAGTCACAATCAAACTACTGATAGCGGTCAGTGTCTGGTCTTTCTTGGAGATGTGAGATGAACATTTGTAATTAAACTGTTCTCACCAGCTTTGCCAGTAACTGAATTTGATAAAGTGAATTACTTTCACCATCTTATTCAACAAAGTGTAGAAATGTTCAGCTGTCCAGGTACATTCCTGGATTTCTTAAAGTATGTGCATTGCATGCATGGTCTACTTAATATTTAACTTTAAATTTTATTTAAGAGGAACAAAATCTTAAAATGCTTTTTCCTTTAAAATTATCAGAAACAGCCGAAATTAGCAATACAAAAATATGAACATCAAAGCTAAAACTTAAATGGATTAGGCACTTAATAATAGTACAGAGGAAAGTAAATGAGTCTGGAAATGCCTCATGCAAGATCAAGTTTTTTCAAAAGTACATAGGAGAAAAGTTTCATGTAGACAGTTTAAAAAGTGCAAAATACACCGATCGTGTTTTGGGTGGCTTTTTTGTTGGTTTGTATTTTTCATCTGCTGGTTCATTCCCAATGGCTGCATTGACCAGGACTGGGCTGGGTGTTTCATCCGGGTCGCCCACATGGGCTCAGTGGCCTGAGAACTTGAGCCACTTCAGCTGTTTTCCCAGGCCATTATCTGGGAACTGGATTAAAAAGTAGAGTTGCCAGAGTACCAGCCAGCACCTGTATGAGATTCCTGCATTGCAGATTGCAGCTTTACTCACTATACCAGCCCCAACCCATCAGTATTAATATTCAAAGCAAGGCATCCACTTGTCAGCAGTTTAAACTAGAAAGAAAAAAATTTCAAGAAAAATGTAATAAAATTGACTCTGTGCTTTTCTCCGACATGGAAAAAATGATCATAGATAATGATTAGAGAATCCTTAAAGAAAAATATTGGAACACTGAAAAACCTTTTTGGAGTATGTGCATCCTAAAAATTTGAACCAACACAACTGACACTAACCTGCTTCACTTCTCTCCTGTGCCAAGGACTGTGCAGAGTTGAAAGTGACCTTACTTGCAAGTTAAGAAATTGGTCTGCCGTGATATCACACATATCAGCAGAAGACATGAGTCAAAGACAAATGCAAGTTGATTGCAGCAGTAGCAATAACCTGAGTGCCAGAATCTGGACTAACCTCCCAAATGTCAGTTCCTTTAGGGTAATACAAAGTAAAGGAAATGTCCACACGTGCGGTGAATTTTATTAGAGAGGAACACGGAACTGATCAACCCTGAAACCTTTTTTTAATGGGCAGTGAGTCTATCTGACCTTTGCCCTAGATGGAAACACAGGACCTGTGAGCAGTCACTCCCCTCTCTCCCCACTGCACTGCTTCTGCTTCCGTACCTGTTGGTACACAAGTGTCTTAGAAGAGGTAAAACAAAACAAAGATAGTCATTCCCTCTTCTCACAGAAGCACAAAGATATGTGTAAGATTGTCTCCCAACATCTTTGTCTAAATGCAAACGGAAGAACAGTAATACATAGCTGCATCGGTTCCCTCTTGAGTTAAGCTAGACTGAGCACTGACCATGCGCCACGTGGGAGGGAGCAGTGGGGGACAGTGCCCTCAAGGAGCTAAAGTCTTAGTGATGGGAGTAAACAGGCAGATGTTTAACATGTTGATAAAGCTTAGAGAATTCAAAGTGGACTAAGAGGACAGCATATTTATGTTATAACATTTATTTATGTTATAAACACTACTGAAGTGCAAACTGTTCAGCAGAAACAGAAAAATGTTTTCCAAATTGTAACTACAGTGATCTTGTGAAGTTGAGGGAAGGGTTATGCAGCCGTTGTAACAACTGAAAGCGGGCTAGTTGAGTGCTGTCAGAGTTTTGAGTGCTAAAGTTTGGTGCAAATGATAGGTAACTATGCTTAAACTACTGAATTAGATTAATAAATGATTCATCTTTTGTGAAAAGTATATAAGCTGAAAGAATCATAAATCACAAAGATGTGGTATCTTCCATACTAAAAATGAAACTATGCTTGAAGATTTAAAAGTGAAGTTTATAAATTCAGTAATTTGGCTATTAAGTCCATTGTGTGATTGAAAGGATTTGAGGATGTCTACAAATCACTTAAGACTAACACATTCTCTTAAAAGATTTATTTATTTTTACTTGAAAGGCAGAATTAGAGGGAAAGAGAGATAAGGAAAGATCTTCCATCTGCTGGCTAACTCCCCAAGTGGCCACAGTGGCTGCAATAGGGTGATCCAAAACCAGGAGCCAGCAGCTTCTTTTTAGTCTCCTATATGGGTTCAGGAGCCCAGGGGCCATTAGTAGGGGCAAGACCGGAAGTAGAACAGCTGGAACTCAGTTGGCACACATGGTCCAGCCCCATAGGCCAGCTGGAACTCAGTTGGCACACATGGTCCAGCCCCATAGGCAGAGGGTTAGCTTACTGTACCACAGTGCCAGCCCCTGTATTAACTTTTTAAAAATCTGTGCAAAGAAAAATAAAAGTTGAGTGAAGTAGGTTACTGAGAAATTCTAAGTTTAGTAGAGAATGTTGCAGGATCAGCCATCCACATCCTTGAGGGCCACAGTCTTAAATTCAGCCAATCACAGATTGAAAAGGTCTTGGGAAATTGCATTTGTATTGAATGTATAAAAATGTCTTTGCCTTTTCAAAAATGCAAGTGTACTACCTATATACCAGCAGTAACCTCTAGATGACTTAGAGTGCGTAGAAGGATCTGCGTTGGTATGTGCAGATTCATTGAACGGGACGGACTGGAGCGTCTGGCTTCGGCATCCACCAGTGGTCCTTCCCGTTCTGTGCCGTGGCGAGGGCTGACTAGGAGGTCCCAAAGTGCATTTTGACTTCCTAGAGGGTATCAAATGTGAACTGAGCATCAAGGGAGATTCTGGAGGGTTGGAGAGAAGTGAGAAGTGAGGGAAAAAAATCAAAGGTGTAAGAGAGTAGCTGGTAGGAAGAGAGTGGCCAGACCAGGGAAGTACTGACCGGCCAGACCAGGGAAGTACTGACCGGGGATAGACACTGCACAGCGGGGGAGGCATGGTTGAGTGACGGCTGCCACTGAACACGCTGTCATGCTTTCAGAATTAAACCAGTGAGTGCCTCAGACTGCTGAAAGTCATCCTTTGGTGTATGAGGTCATTGTCTTAGGCCTGTGCTTGTCCTCTGTAGTGACAGCTTTATGAGACGCCCTGAGAGAAATTTTTGATTCTTGAATCAGATTTACACCTGAAGTGTTTGTTGATTTGAACATTGGATTAGTAACTGTTTTCATCCTACTGATGATCCCTAGAAAGTTAAGTTAGAGAAGAATTCATAGACACTTGACTAGTTACATCTTCAAAGAAACCATTTTTGTTTTGTCATTCTTGACTCTAATTTTTTTCTCTCTCTGTTTTGTTTTTGTTTTTAAATATTTACTTCTCGGGCCCAATGTGGTAGCCTAACAGCTAAAGTCCTTGCCTTGAACGTGGCAGCAGCCCATATGGGCACTGGTTCTAATCCTGGCAGCTCCACTTCCCATCCAGCTTCCTGCTCGTGGCCTGGGAAAGCAGTCAAGGACGGCCCAAAGCCTTGGGACCCTGCACCCATGTGGGAGACCCAGAAGAGGCTCCTGGCTTCAGATCAGTGCAGCTCTGGCTGTTGCAGCTGCTTGGGGGGTGAATCAGTGGACAGAAGATCTTTCTCTCATCTCTCCTCCTCTCTGCATATCTGCCTTTCCAATAAAAATAAAATAAAATCATTAAACATATATAATTCTCTGTTTGAAAAGTACAGGGGTGAGTGAAGGAGAGCTCGGTTTGCTGGTGTTCTCTGCAGGTTGCTCCAAGGCCCAGGGCTGGGTCAGAAACTCCATTCAGGTCTCCCATGCAGGACAAAGCCCCAAGGACTTGAGCCATCACCTGCTCCCTCCCAGACATACGGTAGCATGATGCAGTCTGCAAGGGAGCTGAGCTCATCCCAGACATCTGTTAGAAGATGTAGGCTTTCCAAACTGCCTGTGGACTACAAGACCAAGTACTTCCCCTGTTTTATTTTCTTTATGGTTTAATTTTTTTTCCCATTTTATTGGAAAGGCAGAGAGACAGCGATCTAGCTGTTAGTGCGCTCCCCAGGGCTGGGCCAGCGGAAGCCAGGCTCCTGGCAAGCCTCCAGGTCTCCTAAGCATGTGACAGGGACTCAGATGCGGAGGCCAGGGCATACATTGGTAGGAAGCTGGGTCAGAAGCAAGAAGCACAGGATTCCAGCGAGGTGCTAGATTCAGGGCACATGCCTCGCTAGGGGTAGTTCATGCTGTGGCAAACACTGGCCGCTATTTTTTATTTGTTATTATTTTTGTTTATTGTGCTTATTCATGCTATTCTTATGTAGACCAAACATTCTTTCAGGGAGGGGTGGTAGGAATACTTAAATTATGCCTATACAATCAGTAAATAAAAATTTGGACATTCAGTGTTCAGTGCCATGGAAAAAAGAGATACACACGTGGCTACTGACAGCATGCGATTAGAGTTCCTGAGAGGTTCATGTGGCAGTAGATACTTAGGGCTATAAAGTTGTTAATGCTGCACTTAGCAGTGAAAAAAGAGAGGCAACTCAGCTGCTCGGTGGTTAATTCATGTAACAATATTTTTTAAAAATCAAAAATCACGACGACTAACTGGAAGTGTACATATATTTGAATTATCACAACATGCATTTTAGCTGTATCAGATTATATACAGCAACAAGAATGAAAAAGCCATATACAGTGCCTTTATAATACTTGAGGGACAGCTATAAAAAGAGGAGGAGGTGCTGGCAGGCCTGAAGTGTGAGGGAAAGCTGAGGTGGTGCAGAGGCTCATGCCTGATGGGATCCATTCGTGCGTTATAGATATGTTGAAGTGTCATGTGGTATTATCAGAATTACGTGATCCGAAAGTTTTGAAAACTTGTTAAGGGATAATTCTCTCTCTCTCTCTCTTGCCTCCAGAATTAGTGTAATTTCTTAGTATTTTTAGGGTTAACTCTAGTGTGAAAATGGCTTTTGCAAAACCTCTTAAAATGTAGAGCAGTACTCATGATCTTTCTTCTGTAACTAAGCAGCCTCTTTGTTCCTTTGTTTCAGGATTTAAGCATTGAGGAACAGTCAGAGTGCACTCAAGATTTTTACCAGAATGTGGCTGAAAGAATGCAGACTCGGGGAAAAGGTAATGGTGTTTTTCAGCCAGCCTTTGAGATAGCACCAGGAGTTGCACACAGCTCAACCTCTCAGTCTCAAGAGGTTTTCACTTCTGATGGCCTGGCCGGTTTGCTCGCTTCATCCTGTGAACTGTTCCTGTGTCTTTCTGATAGCTGGTCTTGTACTTGGCAGTGGCTTTGAAGGCTGCCGTGTATATGTTTCCAAGATAAAGCAGTCGGATGATTTTTTGAATATTGTTTTATTACTACATTAGGAGTAAGAATGGAATGTAGTGAAACCTTTTGTGAGGCTTTCCTAACTGAACCCACATTTTAGAAATGCCACCTTAGTGAGGCATTACTCATGATGATGTGTTCCTCAGAGGAATTAAAGAATCAGTGACATGATTTAGAATCAGTGACGTGATTTAGAGTGTTAGTACTTTAGAGATGCTTCTAGATTTTGACTTCCGTTTTTATTGGACTTATCTGTCCCGTGTGTGTTCCTCACAGAACTCTCTGTGATCTTAGTGGTCAGCCTTAGAAAATTAAAAGGATAAGTCTTGCCAGCGTTTATCACTTATGGGAACTTCAAGTGCTTTCCTGTGTAGACATAGGAGTGTCCATGTGTAAGGAATACTCCTGTTGGTTGCTACCCACACAGCTTAAGTTAGGAGTAGGGATCCTGTAATCGCACTCCCAAAAGCTAAGATAATTTTTAAAAGGGCTTTTGCTTTATTCTTATTCTTTTCTCTTTTTTTCTTTCTTTGAGATCAGAGTTAGATATCTTCTTTTTACTCTTCACTCACAAATGGCCACAACAGCCAGGACAGGGCCAGGCTGAAGCCAGCAGCTTTTTCTGTGTCTCCTATGTAGCAGGAACAGCAGAGGCCCAAATAACATAGGCCATCTGCTGCTACTTTTCCCAGCTCTTTAGCATTAAGCCGATGGGAAGTGCAGCAACTGGGACTCAAACTGGCACCCCTATCGGGTGCTGGCATCGTGGGCAGCAGGCAGCTTTACCTGGTACACTCAACACCAACCCATAAAAGGTCTTTTTAAATGAGACATCTTATATTTTTGTATGTATGTTTAATGTGTTTCTAGTACATCACTTTTACTATGTAGAGAATACTGTACAAATATGTTCTTTTTATTATTTTATTTTTGATGTTGTCTACATAGCTGACAAAGATATATGGCGATGAGGACCACTAATTGTGAGGGGGAGGGTCAAGGTATGGGTGGGATAAATGCTTCCCATTTTACTTTTGTTTTTTTTGTTGTTTATTGAGGGGAGAGTGGACTGTTCCCAACTGCCAAACTACATCCCCACCTGCAGGGATGGGGCTGTCCACCTGATGTCACCTTAGAAATTCTGCTGTAGAGAAGAATGTTCTGAGGGTATTGCTTGAGTGGTTTTGAAAGTTCCAGGATGCTGTTGGTTTCACTGCTCCATGGTTGAGAAAATTCTTTCAAGGTCCTTTGGCTGATGGCATCCACTCATCCAGACACTTGCTGCCAAAGCTTGGCAAGGACACCTGTTCTGCTACCATCTTACATGGCACTTGACATCTTCTGCAGGCCTAACTGAGCTAGCCATCAGGTCTCCTTCATTGCCCTTGGCGTGCCATCCACTGCATAGGCATCACTGTTTGAGGAGGCCCAGTCCTGATACATGCATGCCAAGGTCGGAACACAAATTTTATGATTTTCCCTGTTGCCAGAGTTTTGAGTCCAGTGGTCCAGTTGGGGAGCCTCCAAGAGACCTCACTTCAGGTGACTGCAGACCCAGCTCTTGCATGTGCCAACCCCAAGTCTGATTAAGTCTAGCACCTGAATCAGCTTCTGCACACTGGTGATTGCAGTTGCCTAATCAGTTCCATCCCCAGCTGCAGGTCCCATGCAAACTGACAGCTGCTGTGGCCCAGCCCAACCCAACATGCTACAGACCTGACACTTGCACACACCAGCAGGAACGGCAGCCTAGCTGGGGAGACTCCTAATAATCCCCATCAGACCCACCCAAACCCCAGTTCCTGTGTGTTTCGTATGTGCAGCAGACTAGTCTGATCCTGGTATAATGTACCCTCTAGTCTTGGCCTTTTTGTGTACTGCTGAATATTGTGTCCCAGCCCACTCCACACCCAGTTCTTGGGTGCACCTGCGGGTGCCGCAGCCTGGACCAGCTCAGCCTATTCCCCATTCCAGTTTCTATAAGTGTCAGTGAATTCCATGATCATGCCTAACTTGGCTCATTACCATCCCTAGCTTTCAGGCAAATCAGTGGGTATACAGTCCCACAGGGGTGAGCCCACAAATCCCCCACCAAATATACCCCAGATCCCTGGTTAGTGTCATGGCCCAGCCCAACATGGACCACCCACTGCATCAATAGTCTTCAGTGGGTACTGTGGTCCAGTCCTACCAGGAAGGCCCCCAGCCCTAGCTTTCATGTACTCTTGGTGAATGGTGGTCAATGCCAACTAGCCCAGCTCAGGTCTCCCTCTTGGATGGATGTCCTGGTGTGACCCAGGCATATTGTCTGGGTTTTGCCTTATAAATTCCCTGGTCTCAGCCCCATAATCTACCTGTAATTGCAGTGACCTGGACCATGGAAGTCCCCCAGAAGTTATTCCTCACCTGTAATGTACTCCCTCAGTGGTCCCTCTCCCACAGACCCCCCCACCATTCGCCTTCCCTGAGTAGTCCACAGTGTCAGTACCTAGAAGCACGCAGAACCCCAGACCTGGTCTGCCGGCTTGCTGACATCTCAAGAATATATTCCGAAGTTAAAATGCTTAAACTTCCCTTGAGTTTTTGTACCCATTTTGGTGTTTCAGTGCCCCCTGAGAAAGTTGAGAAAATGATGGACCAGATCGAAAAGTACATCATGACTCGTCTCTATAAATACGTGTTCTGTCCAGAAACCACTGATGATGAGAAGAAAGACCTCGCTATTCAAAAGAGGATCAGGTAGTTGTTTTGCTTTTGTTAAATTTACTACTTGCTATTGGAAGGCCACATTTTGGAGAAAATTAAATGCTTGTGTTTCAAATCTTAAGACAAAAATAAAAGCTAAAGCACCAGCCATTCTTGGCATGTAAGCTGCCAGGTGTTATCAGAAAAAAACAAAAGAGGGGTGATCTTGCTTCCAATCTCAAAAATTTCCAAGGCACAGGAAGACTTTTCATATTTGATTGTACTATCTTGTCAGGTGGGGAGCTGTGGATATCAAGGCTTGGGGATCATCTTCCCTCATGCCTGACATTAGTTAGCTGTTCTGCTCACTTCTGTCACTAGCACTGGCCAGATAACACCTCTCAGAGCACTCAGTCTTCTGGGACCAATAACGGGGACACTTTGGACTAAGCCACCACAGTGTAATGACAGGCCTAAGACGGAGAACGCCAAGGGAAGGGAAGTACAGATCAGGTCCCAGGCAAGGGGTTCGTTAGGTCAGTCTGTGTTTGGAGGTTTCACCACAGAAGTGAGAAATTGTTACTGGCCGGATGGAAGGGAAAGCCCACTATCAAGGAGCCAGATTTCACCAGCCCCGGAGTCAAGGTGTGAGCATTAACCCAGCAGCCTGGTGATGCCCGGAGCAGCCTCTAGCAGGAGGTGACAGTGTGACCAGGGATGGTGTGGTGCTTCAGGCTGCGTGGACATAAGCTTGCTGACCTCTTACATGGACTCCAGTGTGCTCCAGAGGTTGAAGGCGAGTTGTAAAGGGACATTTGTGAGCATGGACAGTTCCTGTAAGGAGTGCAGAGAAGTAGTAGTATTTTAGGATTCTAGGCACTCTGACCCATCAGTCAAGTTTTTTTTTTTTAATGATTTATTTTATTAGAAATGAAAGTTGACAAAAACGATGGCCGAGGCTGAACCGATCTGGAGCTAGGAAGTTCTTCCAGGCCTGCCGTGTGGTGTAGGGTCCCAAGCATTTGAGCCATCCTCTGCTGCTTTCTCAGGCCCGTAAACAGGGAGCCAGATCTGAAGTAGAGCGACCAGAACATGAACTGGTGCCCAAATGGGATACCAGCACTTGCAGACCAGCTGATCTGTCATGTCGGTACAGTCAAGCTTCTGACCAATGCCGGGCCATTGTACTTGGGCCTGGGAATCTCTTATTATTAGTCAGTGGTGCTCTATTATTTTCCCTTAGCTGTGGGAAATAGCAAGATAAGTGACTACGCAGCCCCTTGTGCAGCTCTGTTTTACTGTCCCTCTCTCTTTGTAGAGCTCTGCACTGGGTTACACCTCAAATGCTTTGTGTTCCTGTGAATGAAGAAATTCCAGAAGTGTCTGATATGGTGGTAAAAGCAATTACAGGTCAGTATTACTTATATCCCACGTTAGTCCGTACTAATTTTGATTTCGATAATGTATTTCCCTAATGCAGAATGCTGGAGATGTATGTGAATGTCGGAAGGAGGCTAGTTTTATAGATTTGATTAACTCAATGGCAGAAACTCCTTTTCTGCACCTTTTTCTGTAATCCGGGTTTGATTTCTAAGAATCTCTCACGTTTATATATGCAAACTAATTTTGAGTAGAATTTGTGAAGCAAGGTAATTCCAAGGTAAACTAACTTCTTTTTTGCTTGCTTGCTTTTTTTGTTTATTAAAGAGAGTAATCTTCCATCTGGTGGCTCACTCCCCAAATGCAAACAGTAGCTAGGACTGGGACAGGCCGAAGCCAGGAGCTCTAAACGCCCACAAGGGTGGCAGGGACTCAAGCGCTGGCTCAGGGAGCTGGCTCACAAGCAGAGCTGAGCCTCTATCCTAGGAACGAAATACGGGATGCCAGCGTGCCAAGCAGTGGGCTTGCCCACTGTTCTGCCCCTGGAGTTGTATATTAAACTGATGCCTCTGGTTGATACACAGAAACATGTTTGGAATTGGCATTTCTGAAGTGCCCCAAATCGATGTGGTGCTACCATTCTGGACAGCTCCAGGGTTGTAATTAAGGTTTCTATTTCTTAATTATGGAATAGCCTCACACAAGTGCAACACAAGTTTGCTTTTTGTTGTGTTACTAATAGCAACTAGTAAGAGACAGGGCATCATCTCTTTGCCAGCTTCTCCATAATTAGGTTGAGTGTAGGTGCAAAGTGAATTTTCGGGTATTCTCAGTGACAGTGTCATGAAAGATATAAGCAGGCAAGGGGACCAAGACCTAGTGGTTTGGGGGAAGTGTCCAGAAGATAATTTTAGTAAGACAGATGCAACAGCTCAATTATGAATATAGAGATGGGATATTAGTATAGAACATCACTGATCACCATATACTAGCCCACACCAAAGCTACGGATGGGGGCCTCTTTGGCAGTGTTGGGTACCATTGCCTGACTGAGTGTTGGAGTTGTGGAGTGGTCACATTTCGCAGGATCAAGACACTCTCCAGCACACAAGAGAACTTGGGCTGGGGGTAGGCTCTGTGGGGTTGTGTGGGCCCAACCCTTTGGAATACAAATCCCCCGGGTTAGTTCCCAAGCTGGGGTTGCAATGGTCTAAGCTAGGTGTGACCACGCCATCTGCCATCACTCATGGGTAAAGGAATCCACAACAGTCAGGGTAGGTCAAGGCAGCAGCACCCAAATGTGCATCTTTAAACAGGATGTGGGGTGGGCCGGGCTGCCACTGGAAGGGGACAGAAGGGGCAGGGCTGAACAAACCTTAACTCACAAGTAACAACAGAAATCAGGTTGGAGCACAGCTCATGCCAGGTAGGTCCTTGCACATACTGATCTGTGTGAGGCAGAGGCACTAAGCCACAGCATCCAAGGGGCCACGACAAGTGAGGGGCTCTGCCAAGCGGAGACAGAACAACCACCGGCCTACACCTGCTCTATGGCAGGGCAGAGGCCCGGTTGGGGAAATAACAGGACACCCTAGCTGGGTTGAGTTTCCCACCAAGGAGCGCATGGGCTGGAACTGAGGCTACATTCTGATCAGGATACGATTGTAATCTCACTTGGCACAATTGTGGACTGGGATGGGAAGCACCAAGCCAGGCCAAATTCCAACACCATCTGGTGCTCTGGAGGACCGGGGAGGGTTGTGTGACAGACTAGGTTAGGTCTCAGCCCTTACTGAACCATGTGTGAGCTTGGTAGGGGTATGGAAGAGCCATGGCTGGGTTGAAATATCCAACAAGAACCAGCTTGGGTCGGAGGCCAGGCAGGAAAAGCCACTGTTCCTCCTAGGATAGCAGGCGAACTGAGTAGTGCTGGCTCATGGACCCACTGGTATGCGCGAAAACTGGCATTGGGACAGGTTCTGGTGGAGGAGCCCGGGCAACTTCTCTGGCAGGACACAGTCCCATGCAGGTAAGCGCAAGAAGCACAATAGAGAACAACCCAAAACAGGCAATGAAAATTATCCCACTGGCATACACATGGCATGGGTTGGGGGCAGACCAGCCTGAATCTGTTCACATTACCTTCTGGTGAATCCGAGCACCAGAACAGAGTGTGGGTCGAGCCAGGTTCGGTTGCAACACATACCAGTACACAACAAGTAATGCCAAGGTGAGATGAGCCGTACCAGATGTGGCTGCAGCACACAACCAGCACATGTGACAATCAGGGAGGAGGCAAAGCCAACAGGGGAACGTGGGCACCCCTGCTGGATAACTACTTCCATTGGAAAGTGTGAATACGGATGGGGGCAGTTCAGACTAGGCAGGGCTATAGCACCTGTGGGCCTCACGGTGAGCTGACTGTTCTGACTGGTGCAAGTTAAAATTAGAGTGGGTTGAGGGGTGTTTGGGCTTAGCCACAGCATTAGCTGGCAGAGGCTGGTACTAGGAGCCAATTCTGACAAGTCAAATGCCAAAACTACCTGGAGACTGCATACTCTAGGAGTGGGTGTGGCCTAGTAGGGAAATAGTGGGCACCTCCCTCAGGGTTACTACCCTCACTGGACAGCACGAAACCCAGGCTAGGAGCAGGGGTGGCTTGATAGAAAGGCACCTGCCAGTGGGTGTATGGGCTGGATAATAGGTTGGTTGGGTTGAACCAGGCTTCAATGTCCATTGACGTGTGCGAGAGCTACTTGGGATGTGGGACAGACTGGACAAGCCTGCAGTGCATACTGGCAAGCATGGGAACCAGGGAAGGGGGCAGAACTGGTGGGGGTTTTGGGGAGTCGCCTCAACTAGGCTGCAGCTCCAACTGGTTTGCATGAAGACCGAGTATGAAGTGGGTAGAATCGAGCTGGACTACAACACCCATTGGTTCACAAGGAAGACAGGGCTGGAAGCCGAACGGACCCAGTAATCGCAACGACCAGCATATGCATAAGCTGATTGGTGTGACGCACAGTGTTGGAGTCTGTACTAGCAAACTCACTCAAGAATCAGATCTGGGATCAACTCAGATGAAGTTTCTTTGGATATTTCTCGAACTGAACTGCTGATCTTGGAACCCCAACCATCAAGAGACTGTCAGCCAGTGGACTCTGAATAGGTTTCATTACGGTTGGGACGGAGAGATTGGCAGCAATCCAGAACTGATGAACTATCAAAACTGTATGAGCAGGACCCTTGGAGCGCGCCTCATGTTGGGGATGGGGGATGGGTGGGAGGTAGGGTGGGGCTTTCCCCTTTGTTACTCCCCTAACCCTAGATACAGGGCAAAATGATTATATTAGTGTGGAAACAATGATATTACCCACTTTCACCCTGTAGCCCGTGACCCTTTGTACCCTAATAAACTAAGATTATTAAAAAAAAAAAAAAAAAAGAAAGAAATTGTTGAACCTGGCGCAGTAGCCTAGTGGTTAAGCTGCTTGCCTTGAATTCACTGGGAGCACATATGGGGGGTGGCGCTGCTTCCCATCCAGCTCCGTATCTTCGCTGTTTGTGGCCTGGGAAAGCAGTCGAGGACGGCCCAAAGCCTTGGGACCCTGCACCCACGTGGGAGACCTGAAAGTTAAATAACTGTTAAGTCCCAGGCTTCTGGCTTCAGATCAGCACAGCTCCAGCCATTGTGGCCACTTGGGAAGTGAATCAATGGATGGAAGATCTTCCTCTCTGTCTCTCTTCCTTTCTGTATATCTGCCTTTCTGATAAAAATAAACAAATCTTAGCAAAAGAGATTGTTGGGCCCAGCGCCGTGGCCTGGCGGCTAAAGTCCTCGCCTTGAATGCGCCAGGATCCCATATGGGTGCCGGTTCTAATCCCGGCAGCTCCACTTCCCATCCAACTCCCTGCACCCACATGGGAGACCCGGAAGAAGTTCCTGGATCCTGGCTTTGGATCAGCGTAGCACTGGCCATTGTGGTCACTTGGGGAATGAATCATTGGATGGAAGATCTTCCTCTCTGTCTCTCCTCCTCTCTCTATATCTGACTTTGTAGTGAAAATAAACTAAATCTTACAAAAAAGAAAGTGTTAATGAAATTCTGTGGAGAAAGAAAGTGGGTCAGCTGATGTTAACAGTGTTTGAGACAGGTGATGGAATAAGCTCCTGTGGTGATAAGAACCAGGGGAAAACTAGCTGTGGAAAGGGTTTGCCTAAGGGATCCCCAGGGCTGTGAGGAGGCAGTTGTGTTACAGAAGCTGGGCTCTGATGCTGCTCTAGGGATCGGCTGGTCTCACTGCTTGCTTGGCAGAAGAGGGTCTTTGTGCCAAGCCTTCTGCTGCTCTTCTACTTTCTCCAGCTCTACTTCCCTTGATGTATCTGTGCATCTCAACTTCGATTATTAGGTAAATTATTTTTGGTAATTTCATGTGCCAGTTCTAGAGTTAAAGTCTCATCGGCCTAGCTAAATACCATCACCTTGTTGCCGTAAGTTCTTCTACTTAGCTGGGTCACAGGACCCAAGAAGTAACATCTTTGGGTCCAGGCCCCACCCCTACACCTGCCGTTATGCTTGGGAAACGTCAGAGGTGATTGAAGATGGAGGCCTTCCTGAAACCAGGAATATGGGCCTGGCACTCATTTTTCCCAAAGACTTACTAGAGATTTCCATTCATCAGAAGTTTGTTAGTAGAATTTAAGAAGTAAGATTTTCCTAAGGCATCTGAGATAGAGTTTCAAGAAGTCTTTGGCAGTTGAAGCTCAGCAATGTAGTTTAAAAGGCTCTCTTATTCTTCCTGTCCCATGTTAGTCCACTCGTCAGTCCGAGCATGGACATATTCTGAGCCTCTGGCGGCTGGAGATTGCCTGATCCTTGCTGCCATAAAATTGTCAGCTTAGGTACAGGGGTAATGAGGGCAGACACTGCTCTGTATCAGTGGTCTGACAGATGGAGCTAGCGCTTAAATCGCTCCAGGTCAGCTCGTGTGCTACTGTTGAACACTGTCAGTTTTGTTTATAAATGCACTCCTGAGACATCTAATGTGTCTCTTGACATCTGCCTCTGGAGACGGATCTGTGGGTGAAGAGTCATCCTGTTTTCTCTTGGTTCCAAGAAGGTCCCACTCTTGGCTTCAAAAACACTCATTTCCGTTGTGGGAAACATAAGAATGAAAAAATGTTGAGACATTCAGGTTGACAGCATGCTGAAGGAGGTGGTTTTAGGGACTAAAGCATGGAATGTATAGCATCTGCATAGCGGGCTCAAAGCCCGAAGCAGCAGATCCAGCGGGAGAAGGGAGGGTGACTGCCAGAACCCTGGAGAGCATTGTTGGGTCCACTGCGTCCCAAGTTGAGAAAACACTAGGGGACTTCAAAGAGTTATTGGTATAATAAGTTCATTATAATACAAGAAAATTAAAATTCTTGCATAAATTTTATAATACAAAATTCCATGAGGGTTTTTTTTTTAAGATTTATTTTATTTTTATTGGAAAGGCAGATTTACTGGTTCATTCCCCAAGCAACCACAAAGGCCATATTCTTTGGCTCTCCCACATGGGTGCAGGATCCCCAAGCTTTGGACCATCCTTGTCTGCTTTCCCAGGCCACAAGCAGGGAGCTGGATGGGAAGTGGAGCAGTCAAGACACAAACCAGCACTCATAGGGGATCCCAGCAGATGCAAGGCAAGGATTTGGCCACTAGGTTCTTGCACTGGGCCCAGTTCCATGAGCTTTTTTTAAAAAAACACCTTTGTGTACTTTTGAAATCTTCCTCCTGTAAACATGACCTTAAAATCTCTTGACATGCTAAAATATTGAAGTTTACCGTTTAGTCAAAATTGAGGGAGAAAAGTTCTACTAAATGACCCTTTCCAAGCAAACTACCAGATCTAGAGGCTACCAGGCCTGAATCTGAGAAACCGTATCTCCCAGCCCAGAAAGCCTCTGTGGCCATTTGTTGGTCACAGGGGCATCTCTAGGCTTTTGGGTTCTGCTGTGTAGGACTCAGTTCCCTGAGACATCAGCTGGTGACAAGTACTTGTGGCACCCAGCCGTGGTCAGAACAGGGCTAGGCTGTGCATGGCGGCAGAGCGAGAAGGGAGCAGAGAGGTGGGGGAGTGTCTGCTTTCAGTGAAGAGTGGGACCAGATGAGCGGTCCCTGACCAAGCTCTATGATGCGTGTCACGCTTTTCTTGGTCAGGGAGCTTATTGTTTACGCTAACAAGTACTAAGAGATGTGCTGAAGAGAATGCCTAAACCAGGAGCATCTTCAGGACCACTGCCCTGAGGCTTGGTTAGGTTGCTTTCCAGGACTTGTCAGGAATGCATTCTTGGATTGATGCACTCTTAGTTCCGTCGGCTTCTCTTCCCTCCAAGCAAGGGTTTGGATGCAAGGAGAATGTGAAGGTCTGTACTCAGTGGTAAAGTTTTCCCTCTTTGCTTTGGCTCTGGCCATGAAGGCCTCTGACCCAGAGCAGTGTTTCCCAGCGGGGCAGTTATTGCCCCATAGGGAACGTTTGGATGCACTTGAATGTCACGGAGTGCCGCTGGCATCCGGTAGGTAGACACCAGAAACACCAGCAAACTCCTCCAATGAATGGGTCAGACCTGTACAGCAAAGCCCAGTGTGGCAGTATTGCCACTGTGGACCAGGGAGTAGCCTATTTTGCTTTCAAAGCTCCATTAAAGATAAGCCTAGAATTTGGATCCTGCTAAGGCAGAGAACACACACTCAGAGTTATGTTGTGCTCCACAGAAGCCCTGCAGAGTCATTTGGGAACTCTGAAAATAAACAGTAAGCAGATTGGGAAGGAAATCCTTTTTCAAAGAACAGCTATCAGGGAGCTTCCTATTTCTGTTGTTTCTTTCCTTTTTTTTTTTTTTTTTTTTTAGTTTAGACTTTAGGGCAGTACAGTTGTGAAACTGCTGAAGTTAGTTCTGTAGGTAGAAAATTAAACAGACTGAGCTATAATTAGTGTAACCCAGAGTCAACAAGTCAGAGGAGCCATACAGTACAGTAATCTAGAAGTTGGATAATCCTCACAACCAACTTGCCAGCAGGGAGAATAGAGGTGGGAAATACACGGACTGTGCTGCCACGCACGCCTGGCTTCCGCCACAGGTGAAACCAGGAGGGTTTCCCAGGAACCAGCCACCCTCACAGAGAACTCGGAGCCTGAAGCACCATTTGGTCTTCGTCACCATCTGGGCTGTCTGTGACTTTTCTCGCTGCCATTGGCAAGAAGCTGCCTCATTCCTGGTGCCCCACGCTGAAACAGATGTGTGCGTTCAAAGGCGTGTTCCTCCTGCTGTGTTATTTGTACTTCACCATTGGCATGTGGACCTGCTTTATTCCATCCTAGCAGGCAGGTCCTGGGTGTCCTGATGGATTGTCACATGCTGTGAGGGTGTGCTGAACTTGGGGTTATATTCTAATGTCAAATACAAAGATAATTTGTGTAGTAGCCACATTTCTAAAAAGCAGTGTGCAAAATCAGACTCCCTAAAATGAGTTTAAAATGTATTAGAGCAGGGGTGAGAAGTATCTAACCCATGGACCATATAAAACCCTTTAAATCATTTGGTCTGGCCCTGCCAAGGCAACTGCAGGTGAGATTCAAGATTCAATAAATTTACAGCAGGCTGAATTTTTCACAATAAAGGTTCATTTGCCTGAAAGTTATGGGGGTGGAGGGCAGTGCAAGGGCAGTGGAAGAATAGAGATTTTCCATCCAGTGACTCATCTCTAGTGGCCTTTCGAGCAGCCAGGAGCCAGGAGCTTTTTCAGGTCTTCTACATGGATGGTAGGGGCCGAAGCACTGGGGCCATCTTCTTCTTTTCTGAGACTGTTACCAGGGAGATGACGCAAAAATGGAGAACCCAGAGAAGTTCCTGGCTCCCTGCTCCAGCTTGGCCCAGACCTGCCTGTTGCAGGTATTTGGTGTGTAAGCCAACAGAAGAAAGATTTCTCCTTGTGTTTCCCCGTCTCTTTCTGTGACTCTGCATTTCAAATAAATAAATCTTTAGAAAAAGGAAGAGACTTGATTTTGTCCCTTGTTGTCTCTCTGATCTTGGGCAAGTCACTTAAGCTCTATGTAAGATGAATAATGGTGATGTATGTTGTCTAAGGCATAGAGTATGCTGTGCAGTGCTTAACTTACGGTATGTGTTCTGTGAGTGTAAGCTTGGATTCACTGATTTAGGAATAGTAACTCATTTTTCACAAATTAGACTAACTGCCGGGAAAGGGGTTAGTGAAGGTACCGCTATAACTTAACAGATAATTGATCTGGAAAGGTGGCATTGCAGGCTAATCCTCCATTCACATGGACACCGGCATCCTATATGGACACCATTTCTAGTCCCGGCTGCTCCACTCTGTTACTTTGACTTCCAAGTTAAAGTAAATAAATCTTTTTAAAAAATTGATTATTTCAGTCTGGCATTGTAATGCAGTAGGCTAAGCCTCCACCTGTAGCAATGCATCCCGTATAGGCACCGAATCATGTCCCAGCTGCCTCACTTCTGATCCAAAGATGGTTTATGTTCTTGGGCCCCTCACTCCTGTGGGAGACCTAGCTGGCCCAGATCCAGCTGTTGCAGCCATTTGGGTAGTAAACCTGCAGATGGGAGATGTCTCTCCTCTCTGTTAATCTGTCTTTCAAATAAATCTAAAATGTTTCAAAAATTATAATCTTACTCCTTTCACAGGATTACTTCCTCATAGTAAGCATTATCTTTGCTGCCTTATAGATATCATAGAAATGGATTCTAAGCGTGTGCCTCGGGACAAGTTGGCCTGTATCACCAGGTGCAGCAAACACATCTTCAATGCCATCAAGATCACCAAGAATGAGCCAGCGTCGGCTGACGACTTCTTACCCACGCTCATCTATATTGTTCTGAAGGGCAACCCTCCACGTCTTCAGTCCAATATCCAGTATATCACCCGATTCTGCAACCCAAGCAGACTGATGACGGGCGAGGATGGCTACTATTTCACCAATCTGGTAAGAACTAGATTTCTTGATGTTATGCAGAAGCAGGGAAGTGTTTGTTTAGCGATGCGACGGACCGCCTACAGCCTGTCACGGTAATGCCTCTTGAGTAAAGAGCCAGCGTGGCTGAGGATTCGACTTTTCTCAGAACTCACGTGCCAAGATTGTGCAAGTACTGTGCTTCCTGGGGCCTGAGCTGAGGTGGTGTGGCTTTCAGGCTGGACATCACTCCTCAGTGTCCTGGGTGGAAGGTGCTCACTGCCTGGGCTGCTTAAACCAAGAGTGAGTCAGTTCTTAGAGACTTTGATTCATCTTTAAAAGAATTGAGTTACAAATTCTTTCTTGAAAAGGAGATATATTAAAAAAGAGTTCAGTGTACAATATTCCTCAATATTGTGTGCTGTGGAATAGTGGATTAAGCCACCACTTGCAGCACTGGTATCCCATATGGACATCAGATCATGTCCCAGCTGCTCCACTTCTGGCCCAGCCCTGGTTGTTGTAAGCCATTTGGATGTGAAACAACTGATGGGAGATCTCTCTCTCTCTCCCAGTCTCTACATTCAAATAAATAAATTTTTTAAGGCCCCAAAAATGTATTTCTGTACTTAATCTGTTTTTGTCATTTTTTTCTTTTCCTTTAAGTGGGTTCCCCCACACTGAATGCCTCAAAACTGGACCTGCCCCATTACCCATCGGATCCAGCCATATTGTCCAGTTCACATGTGCAGTGTGCTATGAGTACTTGTAGAGAACTATAATCTTTGTAAGAAGACATCTAACTAGATGTCTGCTTAATTGGGTATGCTTGCTAGCATTTCTAGAATAATACCCGCTGCCTGTACTCGCTGCTCATCACAGAGTTAGCTGTTGAATTCTCACAACACTTCTAGAGGGGTATTCATCATGCTTTATTTATTTATTTATACTTGTTTAATTATATGTTGGAAATAGAGTGTTAGAGGGATCTCCCATCTTCCGGTGCACTCCCCAAATAGCCCCAGCAGCTGATGAGACCTGGGCCGGTCAGATTCCAGAGCTCAAGCCAGGTCTCCTGGGGCAGGAGCCCAGACACGTGGACATCCTCCACTGCCTGCCCAAGCACATTGCCATGAAGCTACATTGGACCTGGAGCAGCTGAGACTTGATCCTGATTTTGCCTTAACTCACTGTGTCACAGTGTCAACCCTAGGTTGGCTGATTTTAAAACTTTTCTTGTAATTATCTTAGAGCATCATGAGGGGCCAGTCTTGCAGCATAGTGGGTTGAGCCACTGCCTGTAGCACTGACATCCCATATTGGTGCCACTCAAGTCCCTGCAGCTTCACTTCTGGTCAGGCTTCCTGTTAATGACCCGGAAAAAGCAGCAGAAGATGGCCTGTGTCCCTGGGCCCCTGCACCCATGTGGGAGACACACGGAGCTCCTGGCTCCTGGCCTTGGCCTGGTCTAGTCCTGGTTAAGGACTTGGGGAATGAACCAGCAAATGGAAGATCTCTGTGTCGCCTTACCCTTTTTATGTCACCCTTCAAATAAATGAAGATTTCTTTTTTTAAAAAGCTGCCATTTTGAAGACAGGATGGCCTGTGTACTACCTCAGTTCCTTGAAGACCTGCTGCCTCTGGCTGCCTGGGCTGCGGACGGACATCATGAGTTGAGCCAGACTCCCGAATGGAATGGCTTTGCAGTGCACATGAGGAGTCTGTCCCAGACTCTTAGCCCAGGAGCTCCTGGGATTGTAAGGGCAATCATTGGCTAGGACTCGGTGATTTTTAAATCTGAAATACATAGATATTCAGGAGTCAGATGTTTTGTCAAGTGTTTGCTTCTGTTCTAAATTCTCCATAATAAGAAAGATTTTTCAGTTGTATTTGAGCATTTGTGACCTTCCTAACCTAACTGTACCGTTCTCTTCTTTTTTTGCAGTGCTGTGCCGTGGCTTTCATTGAGAAATTAGATGCCCAGTCTTTGAATTTAAGTCAGGAGGATTTTGATCGTTACATGTCTGGCCAGACTTCTCCGAGGAAGCAGGAATCCGAGTGTTGGTCTCCCGATGCCTGCTTAGGCGTGAAACAGATGTATAAGAACTTGGATCTCCTGTCTCAGTTGAACAAACGACAGGAAAGGATCATGAGTGAAGCCAAGAAGCTTGAAAAAGACCTAATAGATTGGACAGATGGAGTTGCAAAAGAGGTTCAAGACATTGTTGAGAAATACCCACTTGAAATTAAGCCCCCAAACCCACCGTTAGCAGCTATTGACTCTGAAAATGTGGAAAATGATAAACTTCCTCCACCATTGCAACCTCAAGTGTACGCAGGATGACAGAAATGTATGTGGATAGTATTTATTTGAGCCTAAATTATAGGTAGCCCTTACTACACTCCACGGATTAGAATCTAGACTATAACTTAATTGCTCATAAATGCCCAGGCATTTTTAAAGGTACACTTTGTAGAGATTGTTTTGTTTTCTTTTTCTTTTCCCTGGCAGGGAAAGCTTCGTAAATAATAAAACATTATTTATTTGAGTTACTGAAATAGATTCATCAAAGACTTGTATGAAAATTTGGTCTAAATCTTTTCCTCCTACCTGATTTCCTATGGGCTTCCTCTGTGGCATTCACTGTGATTTGATCTTGGGTAAGTAATTACCTTTCAAAGGATAAAGTAAATGAATGCTACACAGTGTGTAATAAGGGAACTCAGTGTTACCACTGTTTCACAGTTTGAAATAATTTTATAACTGTAAAGACAGAAAATATATTGCTAAGTAAATATGTAAAATTGTAAATATGTAAAAAAAAAAAAGGAATGGTGTCTGCTGTGCATGGCATTTTCGTGTGTTCATTTTTTTTTTCGTTTAAAATGAAGTATGTTGAATGTTTACCTGTATTTAGTTTGCCCTACTAAAACCGCCCACAAGTGTTCAGACCTGTTCCCCTCCAACAGGACTCCATCTTAACGATGATGCACCTAACTTTGGAGTCCTGGGCAGGCAGGATGGTTTCCTGGTCACATGATGTTGCTGTTTAGCATTTGATTGAGGCCTTTGAACCAGGCTTCCCCCTCTGAACTTCGGCTGTAAAGGAGAGGCCCTGGATCTGGGACGGAAGAGCGCTGCTGGGGAATTCTCAGCTCTGAGGTGAAGGGATGCCTGGTACCTCGTGACGCCCCTTGGACTTGGTAGACCACCCGGGTATGCGTCGCATCAGCCTCTCTGGGGATCCTTCAACCTCAATACCGTTGATGTCTGTGGCTAGACAGTGTTTTGTTGTGGGGGCCCCCTTGTGTATGGTAGGATGTTGCTGGGCCCCCTGAGAGCCAGTGGCACCCCCCATAGCTGTGAAAAGTTGTCTCCAGACATTGCCAGATGTCTCCAGAAGGCAGAATGTTCCCCCAGTGAAGAACCACTGTTCTCTTGGATGACTCGGGGATTTTCTGGTGGATAATACGATGTAACCAAAGAAAAATGCATCCAGTGCACACTGTAGTGTTACCTGGTGTCCCAGTCACTTTGGCTCTGTAACTCCCTGGCATCCGGAACCTCTTCTGACCTAAATGGACCCTTTCATGAGCCAAACAGACCCTCGATGCTGCTGCTTCCAGCCGGGGACCCCTGTAGACGATGCGTGTCCTTCTGAGATTGGGTGACTCCCCAGGGTGCCATCATCATTGAGCAGTGGCACATCACATGAGCAGTTAAGACAAGTCGCCTTGTGTTCCCAGCCCCTTTGTCAGAGCACCACAGGTTTGTGTCTGGCGATTCTGGAATAGAACTCTTTTTTTTAATTTCCATGTAAATCTGTCAATCTTGACAGTTTTTTTAAAGCGTGGTTTTCAGCTGGACACCAAGTTCACGTGGAAGGACGTGAGTTGGTACATATGCCAGTGCAAAGCTTCTCCTAGAGTAACCTGGGCCCAGAAAGGTTTCCCCCGCCCACCCACTTTTTCTCCTTTGTACTTTCTAGGTGCTAATCCAGGTATACGTTGTCTGAATTCTCCTGGCAATACTCAGTTCTTTTAGTTGCATATTATGTCTGTTGAATAAAATATGCACATCAGTCTCCATAGAGACTGACTTCTTTGAGTCTCTAGTGTATCTTTAAAATAGATTGTTGGATTGCTTTGTTTGTAGATCTCTCATATTGATTAAATTCCTCAGACCCTTGCCTTGTGTAGAGGCTTACGTTTCTCTTAAGTCAGCATCATCACAGTGGCCAGAGTTTTTCTCAACAAGGAAGTGTGATATTTTATGTACTGTAAATGTGATGGGAATAAACCTTTTGCACCAGAGGCACCCTTATCAATAAAGTTTAATGATTCATTCCTCTTCCAAGCAGATTGATTTGGGGCTGTTTCTTAGACTCTGTTACCACTCACAACATATTGCAGGGGTTTCCTTTTTAAGGGGAAACCACCATTGTCATACTTAAGTGTAACATTTTTCCAATTAAAATTAAGAACAAGACAAAGGGTATTGTTCTGTAGGTGAAGGGATTGATTGGATCCAGGCAGAGATGTTACAGCCTACTCATGAGGACATGAACTCTGGACTTAAGAAAGTTTAGAGTTGGTTTTGAATTTTCACTCTGCTTCTTATTAGCAGTTGATCATTGGGCACTTCTGTGAAACTCCAACTGTGAAATGGGAATAATTGTGCCTGATTCCAGAGGCTGTGGCCCAAATTAAATTACTTAGAACAAGGTAAAGCCATTATTAAGATTTATTTATTTTTATTGGAAAGGCAAATACACAGAGAGGAGGAGAGAGAAAGATCTTCCATCTGCTGGTTCACTCCCCAAGCCACCACAAGGGCCAAAGCTGAGCTGATTTGAAACCAGGAACCAGGAGTTTCTTCATGGTCTCCCATGTGGGTGCAGGGTGTCAAGGCTTTGGGCAGTCCTTGACTGCTTTCCCAGGCCACAAGCGGGGAGCTGGATGGGAAGTAGGGATGCCAGGATTAGAACCAGTGCCTATATGGGATCCCATCGCATGCGAAGCGAGGACTTTAGCAACTAGGCTATCTCACCAGGCCCAAATTCTTACATTTGAGTCAGTGTTGTGTACATGAACTTGAGTGGGACAGTACCCGTGGCATCCTGGTGCAGGGAAAGGTGCTGCCAGCTGTGTTCTTGGCACCACTGTGGGCTGGCAGCTGCATGCTGAGTGCAACACCAATAGTCATGGAAGTTCCAATCCTCTCATCACTGGTTCTCACAGCTAGCTCCATCTTGAAGCTATTTAGGGTCCCACCCCCAAAACCAGAAAATTATGTGTGTCCAGTGCATCGCTGGAAATGTGAGATTGTTGTCACTACGGAGCAGCGTAGCTGTTCCTCAGACTAAAGCACAATTAACGTCTGATCCAGCGGTTGCACTTGTGGGAGTATATCAGGACTCAAAGGGACTTGAGGTTTGCCGACAGTGTTTATAGCAGCACAATTGCCTCCAGATGAGAGGTAGCAGCAAGCCCAGTGTCCGTCAGTGGACAAAATGTATACAGGTGCAGTGGAGGAGTCTACAGGGAATTGTGGCACATGCTATAACATGGAAGATCTAACCATGGCAAAGTCACCACAAAGACTGGATGCTTTCCCTCATGAGGTGCCTAGAATAGTGAAATTCATAGAGCCTTTAGTGGAGTGATGGTGACCAGGGCATGTGAAAGCAGGGAACTAACAGTTGCAGTTTGATAGTGTGGACACTAAGAATTACTCATTCAGGACCCAGGAGACATAAGCCTAATGGTTTTTAATGACTTAGGCTTAGAAAGTGTTTCTGCGTGACCAGTTTTAACATATCAAGGATTTGGGTGTTATTTCACGGGGAATATACATTGGTTTGGTCTGGGTTTTAAGTTAAGGTGAATTTTTAAAATAAGATTTACTTTTATTAGAAAGGCAGATTTTTATAGAGGAGAGACAGAAAGATCTCCCATCTGCTCATTTACTCCTTAAATGACTGTAGTCGCAAATGAGCCGATCAGAAACCAGGAACTTCTGGGTCTCCTGCATGGGTGCAGGGTTCTAAGGCTTTGGCCCGTCCTCTGCAGCTTTCTCAGATCACAAGCAGGAACCTGGATGGGAAGTGGAGCAGCTGGGACATTAATTGGTGCCTGTATGGGATTCCAGTGCTTGCAAGGCAGATTAGCCAATTGACCCATTGTGCCGGGCCTGTACAGTAAAGATGAATTTTTCACAGGTTGGAGATCTCTGGTTTCTAAAAATTATTTATTTAAAGGCAGAGTAATTGGAAGAGGACACAGATTTTCTTTTTTCTTTTGTTTTTTAAGATTTATTTTTAAAGGAAAGGCAGATACGCAGAGAGAAGGAGAGACAAAGACCTTCAGTCCACTGGCTCACTCTCTCAGTGGCTGTAATAGCCAGAGCTGAGCTGATCTGAAGCCAGGAGCTTCGTCCGGGTCTCCCACATGGGTGCAGGATCTCAAGGCTTTGAGCCATCCTCTGCTGCTTTCCCCGGGCCACAAGAAGGATGCTGGATGTGGGGCAGCCAGGACATGAACTGACACCCATATGGGATCCCAGCAGATGCAAGGCGAACATTTAGCCGCTAGGCTATCACAGGGGGTTCCAACACAGCTTTTCTATCCACTGATTTACCTCTGAAATGGCTGCAACAATTAGTCCTGGGCCAGTACTCCACAGGGTTTCCCATGCAGGTAGCAGAAATCCATCTTCCACTGCCTTTCGAGGCACATTGAGGAAGCTGGATCAGAAGTGAAGCAGCTGAGACTCAAATCTGGCACTCAGACTGCACCACAATGCTGCCCAGGTGGGATTAATGATTGTAGAACATGTTACTGCCTTTCTATGAGTGAAGTATTTCAGATGTGAGAAAGAGATAGGCAACGAGGAAGTGTAAAAGAGACACATCCAACCAGCCAAGTGGGTGACTTGCCCAGGAGCCCAGAGCCCAGCTTGCTTTCAGATGGGGCCCCTGTGAGAGTGGGCATACGTTGTCATACTGTGTTGCTGGACTGGAAGCTTTGCAGATGAAGAATACATGAAAATTCCATCCGTGACCTTAGCAGACCAAGTAGCCTCGTTGGCCTTGGCACTGCTGGAATCTCTGGAATGTTCCCTGGTCGAGGACCCGCACCATGTTACATGGCAGGATGTTTGATGTTCTAAATGCTGGGCTGTTTCCCTCGCAGCTTCTAAGGGGCTTCTATATTCCTTCCCTCAGTTAACCACAAGAACTTGCGATGTATTCCCCCCACCTTGATTCCCCCTCGAACACACACAGGCTAACATCTCTTCCTTGTTGCCTAAGAGTCAAACATCTTCAGACAGGGTGTGCTGAAAAAGAAGGCTACTGATGGATTTTGGAGAGGAAATAGACCAAGAATGTGTTGGTAAAGAGTGAAGGGTTTTGGGCCCAGCACGGTAGCGCAGTGGTTAAGGTCCTCACCTTGTACGCCCGGGATCCCATATGGGTGCCGGTTCTAATCCCGGCAGCCCCGCTTCCCTTCCAGCTCCCTGCCTGTGGCCTGGGAAAGCAGTCGAGGACGGCCCAAAGCTTTGGAACCCTGCACCCGCGTGGGAGACCCGGAAGAGGCTCCTGGC